TATAATCACGATTATAATCACAAATATGAATATAAATATACATGATATTTGTATATGATTACATGTTTAAGACATTTTTTAAATCAAAACAAAAACAATATGTATATAAAATAAATGAAAAAAACTATTTAATAAAGTGGAATTCATAGGGATAATAATCGGATATGTAGTAGTAAATTATATTTTTTTGTGCAATTTTCATAAAATTTAAAGACACTTTTGTCTCTAATAAAATTAACTCAAATTTTATTCAATTGTTATGTTTAAATATTCTTTATAAAGAGAATGAAATTATGGATCATATAGTATATTAATATTTTCAGTACAAAAGTAGAAAAAATAAAGTAAAAGCTGCTTAGCCTTCTTCGAAAGAGTAAACCAACTCTAACCAACCAACTAGTTGTCTTATCAAATTCAAAATTAACTACGAAGAGAAGAAGATCAGTACATAACAAAAATGAAAATGCGTTTGAGACAACAAGTTTTCATTATGCTAAAAAGAGAATCTGCTGTAAATAAATAAGTTAGAAAAAAGTGTAAGATGATTCAATGTATTGTCATCAGTGGGATCTGAATGCGAAAGAAAAATCTTGTGAGAGCTATATGTTTTCATTCGCTTTTTTTTGTTTGTTATATTGTTAGATAGCTCCTTGGTAATAATTAAAGCACATCTGGGTTTCCATATTAAATTAATAGATTGTTCTATAAGAAAATCATAAAAAGAGGATAGAATAGCAAGTGTTTTTTTCTGACAATTGGTAAAATCATTAATAAGTCAAAAAAATTGGAAAGGAACGATATTTTTGATAAAATCAATAAAGGTGAAGGATGAGGAAGTAGAAGAGGAAAACAAGAACCAGTAAGAATGAAAAAAGTCGAGTATATGTTATAAATCAGATAATCATTATTGACTAGAAGTATGGATGTAAAGTTGATCTTTGAGAGTTTAAATACTTTAGTAATAATATCTGTGATAGTGAAATGAGCTTCAGGACAAGTTCAAATATGAATGAAAGTTTTATTATTAGTATTATATTGACAACATTGTCAAATAGAGTCATAAAGGTTAGATAAGGTAAGTTTGAGGAATTTCAAAGTAGATAATTGTTTTAAGAGAAGTTAATATCTTCATTTGTGATAATAAGATTCTTTAAAAGAAGTTTTATTGTTTGAGTCGTAGTTGATAAGATTAAAAATACAGAGCCAATTTACAGGCTTGTTATTATAGTAGTTGTTTCTTTGAAGATTAAAAAAATTATAGAAAGATTTAGAGTTGATAAAATCTTTAATAAATGGCTGTATTTCTTTGTTGATTGGATTTGATTGAAATGTAGGAATGAAAAAGAAATAGGGAAAGTAGGAGAAAGAGAAAGAAATGAGAGGATTATGAAGAGCAGATTTTGCTAAATTATCAACTTTATCATTATAAGGATTCCTAGAATGGGCTTTAATTTTAACCAAAGTTAATGTGATTTGTTTTTGTTCAAGAAGTTTAAATATAAAACATCAATGAATATAAAAAAAAATTTGAATAATAAAGATGGATAGTAATAAACATTATTTTGTAATAAATAATTATATGAGAGAATTATTAAAAGATGATTAGTATTAATTTTAATAATAGATCTGAAAGAATAAATAAAAAGTGTTATTAGAAGAGCGAAAATTTCAGTATTAGTAGAATTGACCTAAAGAGAAGACAAAGCAGTAGCAAAACTAATTAAAACTAATATTTAAAGTATTATAAACTAGAATAAAAGCAAAACTAATATGAGTTTATAAGGAAGACGATAAAAAAAGAAAAAAAAGATGAAATCTATTTATGTAAAATTCTAATTCTTTTTCATTAAATAAATTAATTCTAAATTATTAAGAGTAGTTATATAATCAATTGAAGTAAATAAACTTTTTATGGTTAAAATATTAGAATCCAAAATGAGGTTATCTAGTAAGATGTTTGGAATAAAAAAAGTGTATATAGAATGGAATCTTCAATGACTTGATCTATTATTGGCCATAGTAATCTTTTAGAAACATAAAAATTTTTGGCATTTCTTTGGATTAGAGGAGATATAGATATAGGATTTGATAATAAAGGATTAATGAAAGCTGCATAAGGCAGTTTTTTAAACTTTGGTTTAACTTTGAATCATTTTCTATTCTGGTTATAAAAGCAATCAGTATAAGTACATCATTTCTTATAAACGATAAATGAAAATTATTAGTTAAGTTTATTAAGATATAGTGTTGAAATAACATGATGGAGCAGGTAATTCAAGTTTAAATACTTTTTCAAATATAAGACGCTTCTGACATTCAGAACATTCAATTAATTGCAAAAAATGCAATAATTAATGCCTCTGATGTTCGAAATGTTTAATTAATTGCAAAAAATGCAATAAATGACACCTCTGACGTTTGGAAAGTTTAATTAATTGCATTTTTGCAATAAATGACGTCTCTGATGTTTGTAACGGTCAATTATTAACAATTTTGCAATAATTGATGCCTCTGATGTTTGAAACGTTCAATTAATTGCAAAAAATGAAATAAATTATGCCTCTGATGTTCAGAATAGTCAATTATTGACAATTTTGCAATTGATTAAGCATTCTGAACGTCAGAGACGTCCATTATTGCAAAATTGTTAATAATTGACTGTTCTGAACGTCAGAGACATCATTTATTGCAAAAATGCAATTAATTGAACGTTCCAACATCAGAGGCGTCAATTATTGCAAAATTGTCAATAATTGACTGTTCCAAACGTCAGAGACGTCATTTATTGCAAAAATGCAATTAATTGAACGTTCCAAATGTCAGAGACGTCAATTATTGCAAAATTGTCAATAATTGAACGTTCTGAATGTCAGAGACGTCAATTATTGCATTTTTGCAATTGACTGAGCGTTCTGAACGTTGAAGACATCAATTATTGCAAAAATGCAATTAATTGAACGTTTTGAATGTCAGAGGCATCAATTATTGCATTTTTGCAATTGATTAAGCGTTCCGAATGTCGGAGGTGTCAATTATTACAAAATTGTCAATAATTGACCGTTCTGAATGTTGGAGGCATCAATTATTGCAAAATGCAATTAATTGACTGTTCCGAATATTGGAGGCGTAAATAATTGCTAAATTCAACTAATTTCATTCCTCATGATAACACATGTTAATTGTTGCAATATTTTTTAATTAAATACATGTTCTGACTAGTATTTGATGATCTGGATGATCTGTAGTAATTTTTAATCAAAAAAATATCTAGATCTGTAATATTCATTTATTATGTCATAATACATGTATGTAACATGTACTTTTACATTTATTATTTTTTTTTTTGTTTTTTCAAATTTGTTTTTTTTTCCTTTTTTTATCAAATTTTCAAAATTAAATTTTTTTTTTAAGATAAATTTTTTAAGTCATAAGTTTTAATTATTAAGATTTTATAAGTTTTAAATATGTCACATAATCATAAACCTTTTATTGAAATTACAACAGAAAAAGCTGATTTATGGTGATATTTTTGTATTTGCATTGCATGTAAAGACATTGAAGGTCGTTAAGTTGCTTTGCTTAAAAAAATGCCAAATAAAAGTAATCATATTAGAAACCATTTTAAAAAATGTAATAACTTTAAAAATAAATATCCTCAACAATATATTGAATATTTTGAATCTGAATTAGAAGTAGAAAATGATGAATTTGAAGAAAATAAACTTATTTCTATTTCAAAAAAGGTTATGTAGAGAATCTACTAGTTCAACATATAGTTCTACTTCACAAGCAAATATGTATTTATTTAAATTATTTAAGAATTTATATAAATTTATATATTAAATATTAAAAATTTTTATTTACAAAGATACTAAATCTAATACATCAATTGGACCACTTGATTCTTATATTTCTAAATCACTTATATCTCGATCACTTTCGAAGATAATAGTATTTTTGAAAAATTAATAATTCGAGCTACTGTTTCTACAGGATTTTTCTTTACAATGAGTTGAAAATAAAGATGTTCAAAATCTTTTTTATTTTTAAATTCAGCTTTAAAAATATCAAAATGCAAAGCTTTAGGAAGTCAAATTTTAAATCGTTATTCCTCATCCGACACCCTTTGCTTGTGCTATTACTATAAACAAAACTGCTAAGGAACTCCCTACTAATACTATCATTAAAACAATTAATAAAAAATTTGCTTATGATGACGCATTCAAAGGAGTCATTGTTAGACATGTCAACCTTACTCGTTCCACAATTCTGTACTTTGACAATAAAGAAGCAATATACATCGCTATCAACCTGAAATTTCCTGATTTGGATATTAAACAGTTCACTGAATATGCTACATACAAAGAAAATATGCAATTCCAGCAACGCATCTTGCATATCACTGACATCCACTTGAACATGAAACAGAACATCCTTAAATCCTTCTTCTCCAAATATGGCAATATCTTCAATATTAGAATGCAAATACAGGTTTGTGGTAGCATGCCTACATTACTTATGAAAAGCCACAAGATATTTTATTGTTCCATGAACAATGATCCAGATATCTGTACAATAATTGCATTAGAGTTTATCCTGCAAGTTTCACTCCTGAATAAGTAAAACTTAGAAATGATTTTCATATCAAACTGACTAATCTACCCTTTGGTACCTCCTCACGTGACCTTCATGACATCACCCTTGCTACTAAAGCAAAGTCATGTTACATTTCTAGATCTAATAATTACAAGTTCCGCCCTTTTGCTATATTCTATTTTCAATCTGAAGAAGAGCTAAATGATGCAATCAAAACTCTCTATGCTCTTGACTAAGGTTGTTTAGCTAAATTATTTTAGAAAATGCAAAATGGTAAAATTTTAATTAATGTAATTTAAACTATTGCAAAACTCAAAACTATTGCGAAATGTTAAAATCTTTGTGAAATTTTAAAACTTTTGCGAAATATTAAAACCTTTGCAAAATGTTTAAACTATTGCATAATGTTTAAACTTTTGTATAATGTTTAAACTATTGCAAAATGTTTAAACTATTGCAAAACGTTTAAACTTTTGCATAACATTTAAACTATTGCAAAATGGTTAAACTATTGCAAAACATTTAAACTATTATAAAATATTAAAACTATTGTTTAAAAGTTTAAACTATTGTAAAATATTAAAATTAAAATTATTATATTATATTAAATAAGATATATTTTTAACATTTATTTGTTTAATACTTTATTTTATATAAAAATAACATATACATATATACATATGAATATTTCATACATTATGCAATTTGTTATATAATGAATTAGACGTTTGAGCTCATAATAGAATACTAAATCTTTATATAAAAATATAAGATATATTTTCACAAATACTTTAAACAATAATTAAAAGAAATATTTTTTTTTATTTAAGTAATTAAAAGGCAATTTATTTGATATATAATAATAAAAAAGAAACAATTACAAATATAAAAAAGAAAAATAATAATAAAAATAATAATAAAATAATAATAAAATCTTAATTTTTTATAATTTCTGCTTCCTTTTCTATTGCTCTTGCAGTTTTTTCAGTTAAAGTAATGAAGTTAGTATATCGAACATCACCTTCACTTAAATTAAGTTTAGCTGTACCATGTACAGCTTGTGTTTGCCAATACCATATTGAATTTGATGTCATCTTAATAGCAACATCATATTCTGGATAAATAAAATATCCTTCTTTAACTAAACCAATTTCAAAAACAAACCCCACTGTAAACTATGATCGATCATTATCCCGATATCCTGCAGCTTCATAGTTTTCTACATAAAATACTGCACCTATTAATTTATTATCATTATTATCATTCAAATTTACTTTTTGTTTGAATGCTTCATAAGATAATACAGACCACGGTAAATGATTATTGGCATTTTCATAAAGCCATTTTCCAAATTCATTTCCATCTTGATCTAATATCCTTTGTGCTTCAGGATCAATATTTTTTTCCTTATATACGTATAAACTAGTTGAAGATGGATCTAAAAAATTTGCATAAATACCATGACCAACTAATTTTCCAGAATCTGCATGGGTTTTTTGTTCACGATTTATTTTAGAATAAACATTAACTGTGTTTTTCATTTTATATCCAAAATAATTTGTAACATTTTTTTTGCTGCATCACGAATAACTCCTCTAACAATTTTATCAGCATATTTTAAAATAACTGATTGATTTTCATTGATAATTATTAGATCCTTTCATTTTCTATATAAGCATAAGTAACAAATTTTTCATGATATTTTTCAGCAAGATTTGATCTATGAATTACATTAAAATCACTTGTTTTTTTAACAACTCGATTAAAATCTTTAAGAAAAACTTTGATTCAACTTTGTCAACTTAAAAATAAATCCTTATAGGAGTCTTTATTTTTATTATTATTATATAATTAGCAAATATATTTACTGGATTCTATTAAAATTAATTATAAATAAAATAAAAAATAAATAATTAAATAATTAATTAATTAATTAATATAAATTAAATTTAAAAATTTATAATTCCTATTAAACCTAAGTTAACATATGTTAAAATAGCATAAGTCACATATAACTTGGGTTAGATCATAAAGGTAACTTCATAATCTGCTGGTATCTTCATAACATAATGGTAACTTCATAGTCTATTGGTAACTTCATAATATAATGGTAACTTCATAGTTTGCTGATGACTTCATAATATGGTGGTGATTTCATAATCTAATTTCATAATCTGGTAGTAACTTTATAACCTACTATTCATATTCTGATAGTAATTTTATAACCTACATATGGGTAGCTTCTTTGCGTTTATATCATTGTTTCAATCATTTCTGTATATTATAATAGTGATTTCATAGCCTAATAGTGAATGGTAATGCTTTAATTTAATGGTAATGTCATGATCTAATGGTAACTGCTTTCTTCTTGTTCCTAATTTGTTTACATTGTAAATTCTACATTGTTGGTATTGGTTTTCCATCCTTGTTTGAATGCCTGATTCCTTGTTAAGGATACTGACACTCTGTGTCTAGTTGGATGCTTGATTCTTTATTGAGACGCTTATCCTTTGCAACTATTTGGTTGCTTTTTAAAATACTGAAATAGTGTAAAAAAAGAGGCGATGGATGACGCAGTAAATTTGCAATTAATTTTGGCCAGCTCTATGATATAACTCTTTTGGGCATGTAATTTTAGGTCTCAGCTTGGCAACATGATGGCATTATGATAGTATCATAAAACTGTCATGGAACTGTTGAGAAACTGGTAAGAAACTGGTAAGATGCCTGAGAGGTTCTATTTATTCGCCAGTTTCAGTTCACTTATATGCCAGCTTAGATGCTAAGTTATTATGCCCAAAGTTCTAGCCGAATTAATATAATAATACTGGTCGAAATTAAGCAAATTTATACTGCAATTTACTATGTTATAATTATGTGATACTATTCTGGTGATAGAATACCCTCACATAGTTACAGGCCAGTGACGATAATATTCTGGAAATATTTTTAGAATCTAATATATATGTATTTGTGATACATATTTTTGTATCCAGAATTGAAGATGCAATATGTATTATTTTGATTCAGCCCATTTAATTGCTGGAAGTGTACTATCTTGCAATCCAACTATTGCCTATTTGTTGCCAGCATATTGGCAGAATATTATAAGCACTTCTGAGACCTGATCATGATTTAATTTAGGTTGAGGTGATGAGTATGCTATTTTTTGCTGTCCTTATAAAAATTCTCTATCCCTATAAGAAAAATTCTTGAAGACGTTCTTAGAAATAATCTTGATATCATTTTTGGGCTTCTTAGCTTATTTTATTGAATTCTTTATTATCTGTCCTTAAGAATCCTATCAACCCTAAGGAATTTTAAAGTTCTAGGAAAAAAATCAAAATTTTTCTATGGTATACCACTTGGATAAATATAGTCATATATGGTATATATAAAAAAAATAAAAAAGGTAAAGAGTTTGAAAATTCATAGGACTCATAGGACTCTTAAGGTCAAGTAGTAAATTGCCTTTCCAAAGTTCTAAAGTCGTTAAAGAAGATACTAATAGCGTCTTTGTTAAGTTTTTTTTGCCATTCCTATAAATTTTTCATGGGCAAAATTTTTGATAAGTCATTAGGGCCAACTTATTGCATTAGGCATTTTCATTCTATCAAGAGCCTGACTCATTATCTCTAAGGTCTGACAATTCTGAAACATCTTATCCAACTTTTTCTGATGATAATATGCGTTTGAGTGATACTTTTTTACATGCCAATCATAAAATCCATATTTAAAAGCTGTCAGTTTTTCTTATTTATCTTGTTTGCATTGAGGTCGCTGGCATTTTTTCCAGTGAATATAACACCCTTTTGGTTTTCTACTTTCCTATCTACAAACCTTTCCTTTATTAGAATGATACTGGCAAATGTATTTACCGCCTATTGCTATTATTCTTAGATAAATAACACTTTGATATCTATAATTATTTTTTTTATTTTAAACTTTTTTGTTGGGATATTATACTGAAATAGTATACTAGATAACATATCTGAAAAATTTTTATTATAACACAATCTGAGCTTTCAGAGTTCCTCTCCTGCACCTCCGCCCCATATAAACAAGGTTTTAAAGCTGAAGATATCGGTAAATGCTTATATAAAATTCGTGATGATAATGTTAGACCAAGACATTTTCTTAGCACAGACAACGAGAATAAAATAGAAGCTGTACTTTCAGGTTGTGAAGGCCATTCCTTACATGAATATATTGATGGTGATGAGCCACTCCAGCCTATTATAGATTTTGATTTGCTAGTAGAAACATTAGATGCTATTACCCCTAAGCTTTCAGACAAACAGGTGAAAAATTTATTATGTTACACTTTTAGAGATACTTGAAATTTTTCCAAAATGGAATAAAGAAACTATGTCTATTGCCGAATGTAGTAATGAGAAAAAATATTTCTACATGTTTTAACTTTAGTATGAGACTTCCAAATATCATTAAGGCTTCAGTTTTCACTGAACTTGTTCGTAAAAAACTTCCAGTAGGATTGTAAAAAAAAGGTATTATCGATAACATAGCAAATATAGGTCTTTCCAAATCTTTCTCTTTGGATTACCTAAATACGATAAAAAATAAAAGAACATGTTTATGTAAAAAAAGCTATCCATCTAAAAGATGGAACTATTTTTGATTTCATGATTCATCTGCCCAATGATGATTCTAAAGTTATTGATAGGTCTATCTTGGCTATTTCAGAGCCAGAAGTTAAAAGATATCTGACCAAAGAAAATGAAAATAATGATATAAGTAGTGAAACCACTCAGGCTGAATTTGAATTTGTGAAATCATTACTTAAAGAAAATGGCATAGAAGGATATAGCCTTTCATACCCATCTGAAAACTTTCCTAACAAATTTCCATTATCACGCATCTCTTCATCACACTGCCTATTATGTAATCAGAAGCATACTAGTAATAATGCATATATTATACAAAATAAAAAATCATATAGATTTAAATGTTACTGCACAAATCATGAACGAAATCCTAGAATGATAAATCTCTCAATAAAGCTCATTTCTAGTAAATCAGCTTTGAGTCAGGAAAAAGGTCTTCTGACTCCAGTAAAATTGGAATAATCCAGAATTTCAAACCCAAATGATCATTTTGTATGGTGGGATTTAATATGCATATGTATTTCAGGTGAGAAATTCTCTGCGCTAAAGTTTATGAAGCAATTTAATCAACAGTTACATATATTAAAAAGAAAATCCCGTTCTGGATACTAAAACATAAAGATTTGGAAAATGGACTTTATTTTGATATGGAACCTGAACTAAAACTTGCTAAGTTTGAGATCAAAATAATCGAATATAGGGGCGAATCAGTAAAGTTAAAATCATTGTTAGACCAAGCGATCACAAAAGGTCTAATATTTTACGAAGATATCAATTTTTTTTTATACCCCATAAACACCTCTAAACCAGTTAAAATTTCTTTAATCTTTTCCTAGGATTCTTGGCTAAACCAGCAATAGAAATTAATAAAAAAATTATGGATCTAATTCTTTGATATGTACTAAATTTAATTTGCAATAGAAATGAAGTACTTAATGAATTCATCTAGAATTGGTGAGCATATTTAGTCGATCAATCTTAGTTCTAAAGTTTACACTGCAACAGTGTGAAAAAAACATTATCACTGATTTCATTGGTAACAAAGTCTTGGGACAACATTCACTATGCGACATCAGATTTGAAAAATCCTTGAACGCTTTAATAGCCTTCTTCAAGCTCAAAAGCTTATTGTTATGAATAAAACTGGAATGTCAAGTAGAGAATAGCATAGATAAGGATGGTAATGCAATTGTTTTTTCAAATCTGCAATATTGCGGATTTTTGAATTGAATTACGCATAGTAATCCGCAATTCCGCAATT